AATACGTAATCTGATGTTTTTAAAAAAATGCAAACATGGATTTTAAAAGAAGAGACGGGTCATTATGACGAGATGATCTGAGATGTTCATGTGTCTACGACCTACTTATAAGCTCTAGTATCTCAATCTTCTGGAAAACGGTAACTTTACTCCTTAGAAAGAGACGGAAAACCTGTAAACCAGCATGATTTCTGGTCCCTCCTTGTTATGCAAGCAGCTGACTGTCCCTATTTTCTGCAGTGGTTTTGGTTGGTGGTGAGGAGCCTCACCCAGGAGGAACACGTTTTACTGCTTCAGTTCGTCACTGGGAGGTCAGGCTACTGCGGTTCTCTTTATTCAGTATCAGTAACGTCTTGCTTTGGGTGTAAAATAACTGAATGATCTGTATCAGTTCCAGGGTTCCTCATGGGGGCTTCGCCTATCTGATGGGGGGCAGCGGTTTGCAGAAGTTCACCATCGCTGCAGTGCCATATACCTCCAACCTGCTGCCTACTTCCAGCACATGGTACTCACATTTTCAGCTCATAGTTTTCATTAAATAATCAGTCTTCTTCTTTTTTTTATTAAAAAAACAGCATAAAACAGCATTTAATTAAATCTATATTATTTCAGATTGTTCTGTAACTTTCTCACTTTTAGTGGATTAGCCTGAATATTTGAAGGTCTGCTGGATGTTTGGATCACGTACAAAAGAACCTTCAGCTTTCATGCTAAGAGGTGGAGATGAAAGATTCAGAAACTTGTAAATCTAAAAAACTCAGACATACAGAACCGCATGCATATGTCATCATACACTTTACCCTTATACAACACTGTTGGCGTGACATTTTTACTCTGCCTGCCTATAATTTTGAATTTCTCTTCAGTTTGAAGCATACTAACTGATTTAAAGACAGAATCAAAGGGAAGTTTACAGCTTCAGCATTTTTATTTATAACAGGGGTTGACGTTAAGGATTTTTACCACTTGTCCTTTGGGCAAGTGACTTTCACATTTAATTTGCCCACAAACAATTTTTACTTGCCCAGTATAATGTTTGATAAATATAGTTCCTAATATACATTTTTGTATATATATTAATGAATAAGGGTGTGCAAAATAATCGTCATATCGATGCATCGCGATTCAAATTTTTGTGATCTACTGCATCGATTCTTGAAGGCAAGAATCGATTATTAAAAAAAAAAAATTTACAAATAAAATACATGAATGGTTTGCGCACATCAGCCAAACCAAGTGTAATACAACTTCCAGTCCAGCAGATGTCACTGCGGATGTGTTGACTCCTGCTGCCTTGTGTCACAAGCATTTCCGGCCGTGGGATATTGCGACGAGTCATATGAAATAAAACATGCCTCCATCACATTTTAAGTCAGATGCTTGGATGCATTTTGATATGATGCACGTAATTTGCAAAAGGGGAAATGTCACACATTTTAATGTTTTCATTTAATTGGTTTAAAGAACCACTGAGGCCATGTAGACGGCTCTGATTATCCTTATATTGTTATTTTAAGTTTGTCCACGCCAGTAATAGTAATATTTGTGTCCAGTATTTGTTTTCATGGCAACACCTCCAAAAGTCATTTCAATAAATACAGCTATGTATGAATTCAGTTGCTTTCAGTTATGTATCAATTGAAGACACTATCCAGATCACACCCAGCCAGTCAGCCACTGGTACGGGCTGTATATTTTTCTTACAGTGTATATTTTTCTTACAGTGTCGCAATGCATCGCGATGCATCGCAATATTTCAAGTATCATGATGCATCGTGATAGAATCGCATCGTGGCATGTGAATCGTGATTCAAATCGAATCGTGACTTCTTTGCCAATACCCACCCCTATTAATGAAACATGTTTTTTAAATGTTTTTTGTAATTCAGTATTTTTTAAGTTTCCAGGTTCCTGGTGTGTATCTGCATGCGTCAGATAATGAACTCCAGCCTACATTACCGTGTTA